GTTCGTGTATCCGTTCATCGTTCTTCTTCGTCTTCCTGAGCGATACCCTGCACCACAGAGCCACCAGCATCATCATGCCTTCTTCCCTCTAACGACAGTATTAGGGCACTCGATCTAAGGTACCATTCGCTTTCTTATTTTGTTGGGGTTTCTTTTAGTTCTTGCATGCTTGCGATTTTTTGTTTATTTGATTAAGTTTTTTGACTTGGTTTATGTAACGAGGATGAAGAGGGAGATGTTTTACCTTGACTGAGAAGAGGGAGAAAATGGAGGTGCTTAGGAGGCTCGACGGTGGAGGAAGATTTGCGCGATGAGGGCTTTATCTGGTATCTTGTATATTTCTTTAAGCTTTATGATGTTGATGGCTGAAAGCTCTGGTTTGCGTATTCTTTCTTCTTCTTCTTCTCTTGCTATGACTTCATATGCTTATATGGTTGCCTCTTGATTGTTGAGCTTGGTAGTTTTACGCCCAATGATGTGTTTACTGAGGCTTGCCTGTGTATCTTCTTTGCCTTCTTGTGTTGCCTATTGCTTTTCCTCTTCTTCTGACTCGTGTTGCCTTGGGCTTGCCTTTGAAACTGTTGAGCTTCTTGCCTATGATGAAGCCCTCTTCTGAGGCCTTTGAATTGCCTTGAATGCTTCTTCTATCTCAGTTGCTTTGATTGCTTATTGTTTTTGGAATGTATTTTGTTTCTTGCCCAATGAAGAGCCTAGGGTTCTGAGGGCTTAGAGTTGGTTAGGCTGGATATTTTAGCTTGATAGTTTATGTGAACACCGGGTATACAGGTTGGTTGGTTCTGCTTTAATGCTTGACAGGCTTGTATGGTTTGAGTTTAGGTCATGTTTAATTTTTGACAGGTTTGTATGGTTTGAGTTTGGGGATTAGGCAGGTTTTGGGTGTTCTTGGGTTTTTGTTTCCAAGGCTTCAGGCAGGGTCATGGATGTTCTGGTTTAGGCCATTAGCATTTGGTTTCAGGTTTTGCATATGCAGGTTTTTTTTTGCTTCAGCAGGTTTGGCTTCAGCTGGTTTATTATGCTTCAGGTTTTAGGCCTAGCAGGTTATTGGTTTTGGATGTTATGGACTTGGATTGAGCTTCAGGTTGTGTGTTTGGAGGTTCTGCTGGTTTTTAGCAGATGGAAGGTTTTGTATCTTTGCTTGTCTCTTTAGACAGGATGAGGCTTAACCGTTTTTTATCCTCTCTCTTTGGTTCTGTGTTCAGTTCTTTTTGTATATTTTCTTATGCCCTCTTGCCTAAAGCCTGAACCCTGCTTACTTATCTCTTTTCTTCTCTCTCAGTACAGCTAAAAAATGTTAAAATATGTTTGTGCTGTACCTTTTTCTGAAGGGGCCACCCTTGTTGGGAAATGATGAAAGAAAGTTTGGCTTGCATAAAAGATTTCCTCTGCATATTTTATCTCTTCTTTGACAGCTTTGAGTAGACTCTTTGGCATTTTTGACAACAAGTTGTACTTCTTTATCTTCTTTGATATCTTTGTGCAGTAATTTGTACCTTTTGGCATTTGACAGCAAGTTGCAATTTGGATTTTCAGTTTGGTTTGAACTTGCTTCTGAACTATGCAGTTTGACATTTTGAACTTATGCATTTTTGACACTTTGCATTTTTTCTCAACTTTGCATAAAATTCTTCCCTCTTTGTGAACCGGGAGAAATCCCGTGATTTGCAGAGAGGGTTAACTGATCCCAATCAGTGGCCCTTAATGATGAATTTCTTTTATTTGTCTTTATTTATTTAACTTAACTGTTATTTGACTTTTCTCTTTTCTTTTGCAGATGAAAAATGGAGCACCGGAGCGAGGGATAGCGGATGAAGATTTGAAGATTAGAAAAATAATTAGGATAATCTTTTATTTAGCTTTAAATAAATGTAATATTATTTTTGTCAACATTTTGTAAACAAAAACAATTATACAAATGACTTAAAGATAAATAAATAAAAAAGCCTTTTCATTTAATTAATTCTTCTCTTCTTTAATTGTTTGTTTATTATTTATAGTTCTTTAAATTAAAATAAGTTGAAAATAAATTCCAACTCATTTAATCTTTAGAATAATAAATAATTAACTAAACACTATTTCAGTACTGATCCATTAATTAAACTTGACGTTTCCAATGTCCAAAGCGAAATAACAGTTAAGCACAACAATTGATCAGACGCAGTCCTTTCTTACTGATTTCTTACCAAGCACTGTAAATCCAAACTGCATATTTCTTTTGACTGGCTCAAACAAACCAACGTGAATTCAAACCAACTGTCTCTTTTACTGATTAAATCAAAACAATGCGAATTCAAACCGAATCTCGGAAATAACTTGCAAAGTGCTGTGGAATTTAAATCCTTCTGAGAATATGCCCACAAAAAACCTTAATTCCTGATTAAATGCCAAAGAACGTTCACCTGATCAAAATTGAGTCAAAATCAACCAAAACCCTAAGCCAACTGTGTGAAACAATCCAGAGCCCTGAAAATCAGTAAAACCCTAATTTTTGTTTGACTGACGAGAAAAGTCCGTTTGTCCGATTCTTGAGCCAATCTGAAAGATCAGGAAATGCCGGAAGTTGCGATCTTTTGTGGAAAAATGCGAGGGCAAATTTTGGGGTACAACAATATCCATGGTTATCCATGGGCTCTTAGTTACTTGCTTAGATCACTTGCTTTGCATTTCTATTGTTTGAAATGGTGCTTTTCAATTGTTTGAAATGGTGCTTTGTGTGTGCTTTTGGAAAATGTTTTGAAAAGAGGCCATCATTGTGGCAACCTTTGTAATGATTCTTGTTTGAATGTATACAAAGGTGTTTTTTTTGTCTTTTGAAAGGTTTTCAATGTTTGAAAGTTGGATTTTGAAATTGTGTTGTGGAGTGTGTTTTGAAAAGTAGCAAGGATGTTTTTTGCAAGCTTGATCAAGTAACTAAGAGCTATCTACCCTATTTTACTCAAAGATCCTTCCTAATGTTTTTAACCCTTTTGACAGTGTTGTTTCACCATTGCATTTGATGAACAACCTTGTGTTAGGATGTTAACAGGACAGGCGCGGGTCATTGTATAGACCATGATTAGCAATAGTGTCAAGTATCTTTGGCAATTTTCTTCAGGGACTTGATCATTTTGTTTAGGCAACTTCAGATAGCGTCATCGAGGGACTATGATCTTTTGTTTTGTTTTTGTTTTGCCAAAGTACTTGACATGCAACCATGGCCCATTTTTTAAGGCAACAAGTGGATTGTAACCCTAGGGGTGCAAGTGTGCATTGTGTTTGTTTTTCATGCATGTTATCTTAGATTAGGTCAAACTAATTGTTGATTTTATTTACATACAAACCCTAGGTCTAAGCATGGCATAATTGAAAGTTTTTTTTAAATGTGCGAGAATTTAAAAGCTACACTATTACAACATGATATAGGGAGGGGGGTACAAATTTGAATTGGGGATATTTTGACAAGAAAATAAATTCTAAGTTATTACAACCATATCGAATGTACAAGTTACAATATTTAACTGTACAATAATTGAAATAAATACAATAATAAATGTAAATAAAATGTATTATGCCAAAATGTTTCTAGTATGTAAAAAGTATATTTTTTTTAATGTGAAGTGTATATAAATAAAAATGTCAATTTTAATTATTTTCTATTTAGGACTAAAAACCCTAATTCCTAATAAATAATATTATTTATTAATTATGTGCAATAATATACTAATTTATATAAAGTATATTATAAAAATGATATTTTTG